ACACACACACTCACTCACACACACACACACACACACACACACACGTGCCACGGGGGGAAGAAGAAGTGTCCTAAACAGCTTGAGCCGAGCCGTATTTCTAAATTGTCGACACCTCCATGGGTGTAAGTGAGCACTATAACGTGATATTAGTTGTGCTGATCAGTCTTGTAGCCAAAGAAGAACAGAAAGAGGGAAAGCTAGGTGACCTCTGACCTCTATATGGAGCTAATCAGAGACAGAAAGAAGGAGACGAGGACAAAGAAATAGATAGAAACTTAACTAACCTGGTTTCAGGTACACATACACACCCAGAATCCACATACAGGTGATGTGTGCTTGCAGTTTTGTTGATTATAATGGGAGTGATTTCGTTTTGATGTCATTCTTTATGGTTGTTTATGGCTGCCAAGCAACGTTTCAACTAGCCGCATTATTATAAAACAAAAACAGTTTTGTGGTCACAGATGGGCGTATGTTTTATAAGGGCTTTGAATGTGGTTAATCCGAAACATGTTTAGAATGAATATACATGACATAAATGACATATTGTGAAGCGGCACTGCTGCCAGATATTTTCATTCATCTGTTAATTTTCAGCTTGTGTCCATCACGTAAAAAAAACAATAAAAGGATGCTAGTTGTAATTAAAGGGATACTCCACCCAAAAATGACAATTCTGTCATCATTTATGATTATATTTTGAAGAACATTGGGAATTAATAATAATAATAATAATAATAATAATAATAATAAACAAAACTTTAAAAAACAAAACATTTTGAAACTTAAAAAAAAAAAACATAAAATACAATTTTTAACTTAATTAAAAAAAAAAGTTAATTACATTTTAAAATGTAATTAATTTATTTTTAAATGTGTCACAGAATAATACAAGTCATACAGTCATGCATGTGGGTGAGTAAATGATGACAGAACTTTTTTTTTTTGGGTGGAGTAAGAGGATTACCAATAAATAAATAAACAAACAAACAAACAAACAAACAAACAAACAAACAAACAAACAAACAAACAAACAAACAAACAAATAAATAAATAAATA